TTAAAGGGAATGAAGTGAAAATGGCATCTCAATCACCCATTACAAGCAAATTATAACTGGGATTAAATTCTGTGAAGCAGGTCTGTAATTTTAGAGTAATCCGAGGACATTCACTGGACTTTGAAATATCATTAAAACTTTTTAAGCCAACCCACGTGCCTCTGTTGTTTTATAGCCCGAGTTCCAGCCCCTGTGTGGTCAATAAGAGCACACTCTGCTCCATGGGGATCGATGGGAGGTCAGACAGGCAGGGTCACAAGCTGTTCAGCAGTGCCAGGGGTGTTTTCCACGTGCACCTTGGTGACACTCATCGAGCTCACGCAGCAGAAAATCAGCAGTTTTACACCTCTGCACTTATAAGTAAAAAAATCAAGGGGTTGGCGTTTTTTCCCATCACCTCTCTGGTCAATATTTATTTCTCTGTCAGAGCTACAGGAATTGCTTTTGCTATAAATTGATTACAGGGGTCATTGTTCCTTGCCTGAGCCCAGCAGAGATTTCTTGGGGTGATATCAACAGTGAGGCAGCAACGTGCGAAAATAAGGGGGTAGGTGGGCTGATGCCTGGGTCAGGACTGTGAGGGATTGGCCCCACCCTGAGGAGAGCCTGTTGCCAGGTCACCAGTAGGTAAAATCAGCTAATTTAGGTCTTTTTAGGATGAGAAGCTGCTCCTTGGAACACCATTGTAATTCAGCAGCTGAGAAACAGCAATTCCTGCTTCCATACCTGGTACAAAGGATTCTGGGTTTGCACCTTCCCAGAGAGATCCTGAGCCCAAGAAATGGGAGGAAGGTCTGGTACCTTGCTCCTGAGAGCACACAGCCCTCAGAAAAAGGCCTCCCTACCAAGCCAAAAGAGATTTTGCCAAAATAACTTGACATTGTTCTTACAGACTTACAAAGAGGTCAGCTGTACTGTGGGCTCCAGTGAGAACAGCAGCTCTGCCAGCTCCATTATTTTCCCTCATTAGCTTTTCCTGATGTCCTGCTTTCCTTTTATTTGAAACCAGGGCAATGGTAGAGTTTGCTTTTGTGCTGTAATGTTTCCCCCCCTCAGGAACTGAGATTCCCTCTTTGCTCAGCAGCAGCTGGATGATCACTTTTGGAGAGCCAGAATGATTTTTCAAGGAATCTCAAATCCACAACCCAGCTTAAAAAAAACCCACCATAATTTCCCTTTTGTAAAAATGTGAGTTCCCACCGGAGAAGAAGACAGAGCCAAACCCCACAACCATCCTCCACCAAGTCTGAACATGTTTGAGGTGTAAGTGATGAGAAGATCAGTGGCCCAGAAAAATCAGCAGATGGCCTCATATTTGGCTGCTTGTAAGGCAGGAGGTACAAAAATTGCATTTTCCATCTCCCTTCTTCCAGCCAGCCCTTTCCTGGAGGTCTCAGCAGCACATCTGAGGTGTAAAGGAGAAATAAAACATGTCTGAGCATGTTTGGAGCTGGATAGACCCTGAAATGTCCCACATGGAAACTCTCTCTCATGTCCCACTGAAACCCCCTCCATGGGACAACGTCTCCAGTGCCTTCCAAGGGGATTTGCTTTACCTTTGAGCTTGCATGGCTCCCTTTTCCCACTAGCCCAGCTAAATCTCTCAGAGGCCATCTCATGTCTCCATCAGACACCTACCTGGATTTCTCTTTTTCAGGGGGGAAAAAAACCCCAACAAAACAACAAAAAGCCACCTTTGAATGGTGACATTCCAGTCAGGGATCACAAATCACTGCTGTTCACCAGCTGGGGGTCAAACCTGGCCCTGGTGATGCTCTGATGGGATGCTCCTTTCTTTCCAGGGCTGGAAATTGTTGTGTGTCCCCAAAACCTCAGTCTTGGCTAAAACTGCAGCTCTTTGTTAAGGGCCAAGGCAGGGCTCAGACAGCCTCTCCCTCAGGGGTGCTTGGGGTGGGCTGCTCTCTCCCTGGACATGCCCTGCCACCTCCATGCCCAGAGACTCATCCTGGCCTGGCTCCAGCTGTCTGCAGGAAACGGGGACTGTGCACATCCAGGTTTGGGGTTGGTTAAGAGAAACATCGGAAGAGTGACATTCCTTGTTCCCCAGGCCCACCCTGGGCACGTGAAGCCCCAGCTATGAAGGTGTTAAAAATCAGAGAGCTGCTGGTGGACCTGCAGAGAGGCTGCACACAAATATCCACTGTGGGATGCATGGAAAAAGCACCAGACAACCACAGGATCAAACAAATCCCAAAGCCTGGAGGCAGCAGAGGATTCTTCCCCCTCCCTCCAGTGCCTGGGGTCAGCTCCTAATTCAGGGTCTCTTCTGCAGCTCCAAATACCGTCGGGGAATTTGGAATTTGCGCTGCACAAATAGGACTTTGCACAGGAGGAAAGTGGTGGCACAGTCACAAACAAAGTTTCCCAACTCTGTAGTAGTTTGTGTCCCACGAATAAATAAAACAGGCAGAGCGTTGCCCATCTCCCGAGCTCGAGGCACAGACGGCTCCACATGGAAGGAGAGCAGCCCCGGGGAGGGACGAGCAGCTCTGATGAGTAGTGCTATATTTATAACAGCTGGCGAGGTGCCCAAATTCCTGAAAACATTTTCTTCCAAGCTTTGGATCTGTTCGGCGGCGAGCTCGTTCTTGTGTAAAACGGCACTGGCACCTAGTGGCCGCCGGATCCAAGCGCAGCATCCCAAAAAGTTTCAGTCGGCACCCAGTCGCTGTGTGCCAGCTGCAGGAGACAGCCACGATGCTGTTTGAGAGCAAATAACACCAAGGGCTTCTCTTGCCCCTGCGCTCGGAGCTGCTGAACTTTCTAGACACGAAAAATTAGGGAAAGCCGCAAAACCCCCTGCCCCCTAAACTTCAAAAAGCCTGTGCCCACTGCTGCCAGCCAAATAAACCAGCTGCTAGGAGGTGTCTCACAAAGCTCTCTGCTCTGGGGCATGGGGAGACTCTCCAGACACCCTAATTCTGCCTCTCAACACCTCCTCTCCCATAAGAAACTCCAGCTTCTTAAAAACTCTCTTTTGGGGTCAGATGCTCACGTTTTAGAGGGTAGATCTTACCCACGAGCATTTTTAACTGTGCAATTCAACTTTGCTTCGTTAAACACGCTCAGTGCTACTGAAAAAGATCCACAGTTAATGTCATACAATAATAGAGACAAAATCACCAGAAACAATAATAAAAAAAAAAATACCACAGTGGGGGGAAAAAGTGAAACACCATTTACTTTTTCCTGGTGTATTTCTTTAAGGAAAACCAGTGCAATTCACTGTGGCTTATGCAGTGTAAGAGAAACAGCAAGTGGAGAGAGAGAGACTGTTATCCTGGGATTCATTAGGCAGCACCATTTCCAGCCCAAAAAGCAGCTCCTGTGTTTCATACAGGTGCTCTGACCCTCTTTGAAAGGGCTGTGATCACACACAGTCCCACCTGGAAACACGAGCAAACTGGGACAAACTTTGCAATGAACTTTCTGGATCGTTTTACAGCCTGAGTGTTTCTGCCCTGAGCAAACTGATCCCACGGCACAGCAGCATCCTCTGCTCCTCCCTGTATCCCACAGCGCTGCCCACAGAGTGATTTTGCCAAGGAAAGCAGGGCAGGAGGGCTGGCTGGGCGAGTTACTGGGAAAGGACATCGGGAGCATCTTCAGGGATTGGATTCCCAGCGATGTTCCTTTCAAAGCTCTCTCTTTCCTGGCTCAATATTGCGAATGCTTCGAGCTCCTCCGGGCAGGGATCTCTGAGACTGATTGCAGCTGGTTTAAAATGAATAATTCATCCTCTCCCACTGATGTTAAAGAGAGGCGAAATTATCTGATTGATGATTCTCTGAAGAATTAAAGAGATTGCATACAAAATTGGTACACATTATTGGAGCTTATTAAACATTTACTGTCAGGCCCTAGAAGAATCCCAAATCCAGATCTGAAAGGTGTGTTTTCTCTGGCACATGTAAACATCCTTAATTTTGATCTTTTTGATGCATCCCAAAGTGATATTTAGAGGGTAAAATGCCATCTGCTGCCCCTTTGCTGTGGCAGGAGTTTAACACGAGAAGAGTGGACAAAGTCAGCCCCAAAGTCTTTCTCACCCAGCAGCTGGTCTGTGCCACAGATGTGTGAGGTCTTCAGGTCATAAAATCAGCACAAACACAGGTAGTCCTTCCAGACACTCAGTGGCTTCCAGTCCATCTGTAGTTTCTTGGGCCACTGAGAGCTTTCTGAGAGGATTCTCCTCCCAGCAAGCTGAAATTTCAGAACCCACACATGGTGGGCAGCACTGAGCCCATCTGGCACACCAGTCACTTCAAAAGTGACACTGGTGAAGGAGAATAAATAACACAGACATTTTTTTCCAGAAGGAAAAAAAAAAATGCCAACTGTTTCAAACTCTGTGAGTGACTGACCTTCCTCTCCTTGCTTGAGGCCTGGGAGGTGGGAGCCCACACTGCCACTCTCAGCAGGCACCTCTGAAACTGGAACCCCTGATTTATGGAGAGCTGTGGGCAATTCTCTTCACGTGGTGCTGCTGTAATCCTCCAAAGGATTAAATGAAATTATATTCCAACCTTCCTGATGAATATCTATCCTATTTAACCCTTTGTCATCCTAAAAGGTCAGCTTTGCACTTCAAGCACGCTTGAGGAATCTTCTGATGCCTTGGGAATTCAGCAGCTCTGTCCAGTTTTATGGACTTGGCTCAATTTTATGGACTATTTTATGGTCTGGATTAGCTCCCAGTATGCACTAATTCCCTCAGAGAGATCCTATTTACCATCAATATGTGCTTGTTCAATGACTGAAGAAAAAGTTACATCTTTTATTACAATGAGAATCAACCGCAATGAGATCTGGCCAGGACAGGAACTGCTTGAATGAGAACACACGAGGAGACTGAGCTGCAGCTAAAAGCCAAAACTTTGCAGGAAGCTGAGCTTTGCAAAGCAAAGGATGACCAGCAGCACTTGAGGGACAGCAATGATGTACAGAGCCACGGGTGCCACAAAAAAAACCCTTCCAGAACATCACAGAATATCCCGCGAGGATCATCCAAGTCCAACTCCTGGCCCTGCACAGAACCCCCCAGATATCAAACCTCCCGCTCAAGGGAAACAATTCCTTTAATGACTGAGATCACCTATGGATTTAATGACTGAGATCAGCTATGGACTTGTGATTTCAAAGGCCGAGGAGGAGCCTTCAAAGGGAACGGTGATGGTGCGAATGAGGAACACTCTCTTCTTGTAGTGCCCGAAGTAGCGGATCCGGTACGTCCCCAGCTCTGTGCCAGCAGGGATGTGCCACTCAATGGTCACATTGCTCTGACTCAGGGATCCTCTGGTCCAGTAAAACCTAGCAAACAAGACAAAAACCTGCAGTCAGCAGGAAAACCCACTTTTCACTTGTTCCAGTGTCCCAAGAGCTCGCTAAGTGGAATGAGATGAAAGCTCTCCAGTTAAGTACATTTTAAGAGCTTCTTTTGACCTTTCCTCATATATTTTGGCTACCAGAGCAGCAGCCAACAAGCCAAGCCAAAACCCAGCAGGGCTGAAAAACAGCTGGAAACACGGGGAATACAAGTCAGGGGTCCTTTTTGTAGATGAAGAATATTTCTACCCCTGTGTTCTTCCATTTCCAGCTCCACATCACAACCCTGTACAACATCACCCCGTGAGCAACATTCACCAGCTCAGTCCTCCCTGTGCAGGGGGAATGCTGAGCAAAGAGGAGGAATATTCACTACAGGTGAGATAAGCACCCCCATTTCAGGACCTTAATTAAAGGAAGGGGTTGAACAAAACATCTTGAATAAATTTTTTTTCACGTACCAGTCTTACTGAGACTGAAATAAATATTTGCAAACATGACTGGATGAAAAACTGACTTCTGGTGCAGCTCTGAAAGGTGACTCCACCTTTGCTGCTTAATGGATGTTTTCCCTGAGGACTGACATCCCTAACCTCAACTTTTCTTTCTTGTAAACCTTTTAAATTGTTGTCTGTATCTCGTCTGTGATGTACAACAAACCCAGACAGCTTTTCCTGATAAAAATCCTCCGAGCCTCTCCTATTTTCCATTTGGCATCCTGTTCATCCACATGGTGTGACAGATGGATGGATACAGCCTATGAACAAGCTGGACCCCAAACCTCCTGTAGTTCTTGCCCTTCCTCCTACATTTCCCAAACTTCTAAGCCTTCGTGTCAGGTGCCAGAGCCAAGGGGAACACCAGTTTTTGTGGTCTTGACAAGTTAACCACCCAAATATGGACTGATCCATCCCCAGAAAGCACCATGTGCAGGGTCAAGACTATGAAATCAGGGAGCTCTGAAATTAAGGTCTTCAGGCTAAATTTAAACTACTCCCTGGAGTCTGTGGAACAGTGAAATCTGCTCAGGGCACCCACCTGGTGTCCCAGGAGGCGTCGTTCTGCACCACTTGCCAGGTGCCTGAAGTGTTGGTGTGCCTCTCCACCGTCAGGAAGTTGTGTTCAGTCTGGAATAAAAATAGCAGAGTCAGCCAGACACTGAAGGTACAGGCGTGTCCCCACCTCCTGTGTCACTTTAAAATGGAGAAGGGCCTGTGCTTCTGCCTGCTTCGCTGGCAAACGTGGTACTGACTGGCACTTACTGTGGTACTTACTTCTGTTTCACTGCCAAATCCCAATTTAGGTAATAAATGCTGCAAAGAACTTATCACTAAAAAGAGAATGGATGGGTGATGTATTTGCTATCAGTGTCTGTGCAAGGGGATTGATGGGACAAATTAAGTACTTTTCTAATTTTCTTTGTTTTATTAAAATAATGCACCAAGCTGACAGGATGGAGACTAAAGAGCACGTTTGCTGTGCCTGGATGGTGCTGGATGGCACTGAGAGTGTCTGGCCTCACACACAACGGGGTTGACTTTGACTTCAACAGTGGGAAGAGTTCACGAACAGCCCAACGTGGCCAAATTCAGTTCTCTGCCCCAAAAGCACCCTGGTGGTGGGAATTCCCAAAGCACACCCCTTCTTCTGAACCCCCAGCAAAGCAAAAAGCACTAACTAAACATTCACTGATCCCAAACATCCCCAGTTCCAGGGTGGCTGCGTCGTATTTACCGCGTTCTCCGCGGAATTCCGGGGGTTTGCTCCCACAAAAGTCACTTCAGCAACTTCTCCCTGGGGGGGGAAATTGAGATTTGTGTTATTTGTACTATCACACTGCACATCAAGATCATCCTTTGAAGATGCCATTTGAGGTTTTTAGGGGGGTTGGGGGTTTTTTGGTGCTATTTTGGTGTGTTTGGTTTGTTGTCGTCTGAAGTTATTTATAATTTCACTTGTTGCTACAGCAGTGGACAATTTATGCTTTGAACTGGCATCCTGTGCCTTGCCATTCCACTTGTCCTGCTTGCTGGATAAACTTCACCATAAAACTGGATAAACTGGATAAACTCCACACAAAAAATGGAGGAAACAAGTGAGGTTTTTCAGAATGCCTCCCTGCCTTACTGCTGGAGAGAGCAGTAAGATGAAAGTCCTTGCTCTGAACATCTTATCTAAATTTTGAGCACTGAAAACGGAACCATTTCCAACATTTTAATTTCATTTCATTTGCATTCCACAGCAGAGGCATCAAAGGTGACCTGATTTCTGCTTGTAAAGAAATCACTGTGCAATATTTGCCTATTTAATCAACTGGTGTTTTATTTTGAAGCAGAAGAGGAAATCTACTTCATGGCGAATAAAGGGCATTTATTTTCCTCTTGATTCACCCCTTTGAGTCACATTCAGCACAATGACATTGGTATGAAAACACTCTGCCTTCTCAACCATGGCCACCAACAGAAATGTTTGGTCTGAGGGCACCACGACCCTTTAAGGAACAGAGACCTTTTGGGACAGGGGTAAGAATTTAAAGGTGATTTCCTGAAGAGGTTTTAGTGAATCCCTGAGGCTCTCACCACTCGATACTGCTGCCTCACTTCCTGTAGCACATCCCCAAACGTCTTGTTGGTCGGTGCGCTTTCGACGCCGAGGGAGGGCACCAAGGTCAGGTTGCCTATGTTGAAAAATGGGGGCTCTGGACCACGGGGCAAGTCCTGGGTGGTGTTCTGGGAGAAGGAAGACGTGCTTGTTAGACACACACAGACATAACCAGTGTCTCCCTGATGAGTCACATCCCTGCTGTGGCTCTATATCCCACACCACCGCTCGGACACATTTTAAGAATAATAAAGTGAGCGTAAAAGCAAACTGGAGGATCTTGCTCTGTATGCAGGAGCAATCCGTGCAGGACACCCTGTTGCTGGCATCCACCAGAATATCCCAGGACTGCCCACCGGTCCTGCACATTCACATGGTCACACCGATCATGGATGTCACCAGCGGAAACGCAGCAGAGGTTTTTTTCCCTTTAGGTAAAAAAGCAGCAACTTCAGGCCATGCTGAAAGGTTGGAGGTACTTTGACCCAAACTTTGACCTGAAAATCCCCTCGAATTTCTCAATGAGACCCCCATTACAGGAATTATTTTCATACCACGAGTGTTCCTCAAGAGAAGAGAGGGCAGCAATCACTTGGCCTCCCTGAGGAACAAATATAGGATTTAAATGTCTCCAGCAGCATGTGGCCTGTAGAAAAGGTTGATTACCGTGGCAATAGCCCTTGCAAGTCCTCTGTAGAGCTGGATGTAGGCAGAGAGGGTGTGTGGCCCATAAATAGTCGATGCAGCCTCATATCGTTGAACCTGGCGAAGGACAAATTGGGAAAAGGAGGCTTTGAGGGACTCTTGAGTGGTTTATACAGCCCACCCTACTGCACTAAGATAAGATCAGTGGTACATCAGGGTTTGTTTACTGTCAGGGAGACAGTCCAACAACTTGCCAAAATATTTCTGCTGCAGTTCCAGGTGACTCTGCATTCTCCAACCCATGGCAAACAGGGAGGACCTGTTTGCTCTCCCAGTTATCACAGATTGTACTCTTTTTAAAGGCTTCAACTTTTTGGGCTGGACAACCCCAGTTCTTCCAAACTCCCCTCCCAGTTCAGGGCTTCTAAACCCAAGGAGTCCAACCAATGGTCCACATCTTCCTCAAAGCACAACATCTGCTTTGCCTTGCGGAGACTCAGAACTGTGTCAGGCAACCAGCCTTTCCACAGCAATGGGGCACTGCAACCCATGGTCACCTTGCAGCCCTCCTACTCCAAATCTTTCAGCTTTTTGTGGCAAAATGCTCTAAACACACATAATTTCACACGAATTATCACCCCCATGCAGCCAAAAGTTGAACTGGATTAAACACGTAAAATCCACAATTTTAACATTTACCTGGTATTCTTCATAGGTGGCAATGTAGTGGGTGTAGACATTGCACAGACCTGCAATTACCACATTCATCCCTGGTGTCCCATGGGAATCAAATTCCTAAGAAAGCAAAGAAAACACCTTGAAACAACTGCTTAATACACAGATATACTGTTGTTATTACTATTGTTGTTATTACTACTGAATCAATATTGTTATTATTGTTATGGTGGCTGGTATATTATTATTATTATCATCATCATCATTATTATTCCCATTATTCTCCTTTACCAGGATAGAATACAAAGTTACAGTGGGGAGAGGGCTGGATGCTCAGGACTGTAAACCTGCAAGTGCAATTTGCCTTTATTAACATGTCATATCCACTTCCCAAAGTAAAAGAGGGACACGTGACCTCCCATTCCAGTAAATTAAATGCATTTGAGGGTTTTTTGGAAGCTGATGGCTGAATACTCCTAAAAAATTATTATATAACTGTGAGAAAGGATCAGAGACAGCAGCTGAGATTAGGATGGTGTTCAGGCTGCAGCCGAGGTGCACCAATCAAATGGAAAAAATACATTTGCCTTTTTTTTTGTTTTTTTTGCAATTGTTCTCATGTTGCAAAATCCTGGTAGGGATTAAGGAGATAAAAATTCTCCATCCCACAGACAAAAATGCTGCTAGCATCCTGCCTGGTTCCCAGTGGAATTAACTTGTGTTGGCTTGATGGATTGAAACATGATGGGTTTGCTTCTTTTGGGGAGGATATTCATTTTTGCTGCATGTCAGAAGGCACATGCAAAGTCTGTCTGAAGCAGCTGTGAGAAGGAAGCAGCTGTGAGACATGAGACCCGTGACCCCAGCTGGGAGGAGACAGGGGGAAAAGCAGAAGGCTCAGGAAATGGGAGGTTCCAGACATGCTGCACTCGGGAAAAATCTCTTCCTCAGCAGCTTACACTTGTAACAGCTTCCCGCAGCCTGCGGCCAGACATGGTCCTAGGGCATGAAGGGAACAACATCAGGCTCCAGAAAGCATAAAATCCCAGAATCATTTTGGTTGGAAAAGCCCTCCCAGCCCACTGAGTCCCCCCTGTGCCCGATGCCCACCTTGTCCCCCAGCCCAGAGCACTGAGTGCCACGGCCAGGCCTTCCTGGGACACCTCCAGGGATGGGCACTCCAAACCTCCCTGGGCAGCCCCTGCCAAGGCCTCACCACCCTTTCCAGCAACAAATTCCTCCTCCTGGCCAACCTGAGCCTCCCCTGGCACAGCTGGAGGCCGTTCCCTC